TCATGTGTACAGGTGTGGTGTGTGTGATGGTGTGTGTATCCATACATGACTGTATCTGTGTGTGTGTGTGTGTGTTTGTGTTTCGACCTAACCCCCGGGCCATGTCTCAGGACCCAGCTACCATAACCGTAGCCTAGCGCTGGGCTTGCACTTCGATTGAAAGTACTGGCATCTTCAAAGCTCAACACATTCATTGACTTAAGAGTCGAAATTAGCAGATTATGGGGTTTCCCTTCTATTTTGAAAATATGCTTACTGGGCAAGGGACAGACAGTCTGGCCTTGAGAACCAGAAATGGTGGGTTAAAGATCTTTTATGGGCCCCAACTCTCCCCGCACTGTCTGAGCCTCACTCAGCTATTGGTTTAACTGATAAGGATTTGTGTAACTGAACTCTATGTTAACTACTCCTATGAACACAGTTATAGTTTATGTTACATACATGTATAAAGGACACTGTATGCTACATGTACTTTGTTTATACAGTTAATTTTTTGATTATAAATTGTTTTAAAATACATGACTTACAGGGAATGCTGTCTTTCTTTACTGCCATCACACAATTAGATGCTGCCATGCTTTTTTAATTGGTACATGTACTTAAATAATCATGTACATGTAGGTGGGTATTAAATCATTAATTAATTTTTGTATGTGTGTGTGTGTGTGTGTGTGTATCATGTGATAGTGATGTGTGTCTATGCATGATGTGTAATAATGTACACACATATACACATACATATGTATGATGAATGTGTATAATGTATGTGTGTGTATGTGGTAAGTAAGTGTACATGAATGTTTGTACATTATTATTAGATCAATGGATATCTCCTGTTGTTACTGGAGACAGACCACCTCCTATTAGTCACTTCACTCTAAAACCAGTTACTAATAACACTGCGGTAATTTTCGGAGGCTTTACTGATAATGGAGTCAGTAATAAACTGTATATGATAAGTTTCACTAAGACATCAGTGGTGAGTTAATACTGTAGGATTTGTTTTGATTGTGGGATTTTTTTGATTATACATGTAAGTTGTGGGATTTCAATTAAATTGTAATTGAAACTTAAAAAATTCCCTCAAAAGCTTGAGGTAGCTTGATGTAGCTTGACATTCACATACAAATTGCAGTCACTATTGTCACTATCACAATCTTTTTGATGAACAAATTCTATATTTAGTATTAATAAAGTATTTTTATTACATTGATGTTATTATTCTCTCAGGATATATTAGAAGTACCTAATCCTGGAGGATCAGTACAATGGCCTAAGGAAAGATGGGGTCATTCCAGTGTACTGATTACCACTAGTTCAGGACCACACTTACTAGTGGTGGGTGGTGATCCTGCCTATGATGTATGGTTACTGGACATTAACAAAAGAAAATGGAAAGAACTGGTAAGTATTATATTATGATGCTTGATAATGAAACATAAAGTGATTAACTAAATTTGTAACTCATGAGGTTTGTAATGTACATGTACATATAATGATACTCAGTGAAAACTACTGATGAATAATGCTGGTATTCAGTATGTGTGTGTGTGTCTGTTTTTAGTGTGAATGTGTGTTTTTGTGTTTTGTGTTTGTTTCTTTACCTAAATATGTGTGAATATACATGTGTCTGTCTGTGTGTGTGTGTGTGTGTAAAGATGGATTGACAATTGATAGAGTGTCAATGCTGGAATTAAAATAAATTGTATTTTATATACATTGTGTAGATTGTGTATGTACATACATGTATTTGTGTGTATGTGTGCATATGTTTTAATATGTGTATGTGTGTACTAACATGTACATCATGTGTACATGTAACATGTACATGTGTGTGTATGTGTGTGAGCAATTATGCATGCTTTACATGTACCTTGTACATGTATGTGTATTAGTGTGTCATTAGTATGTGTATGTGTATGTGTGTACATGCAGACACTTAGTAAGTTCTTAATTGAGGACTCACATGATATAATAACACACTCAGTTGTGTATACTTGTCTATTAATATATTGTGTATTATTAATTTTATTATGTCATCTTTGTGTTACATAAAACACACTGTGCAGACTATAAAACTGTGAGTTAGTTATTGTGTTTATTAACCAGATATCAAATCAATTAATATGTCATACACAAATTAATTATTATCATTTTAATTTTATAGATTAATCTACCAGACACTGTCACTAGGAGATACTGGTATTCTCTCTCAGTGTGGAGTGTGACCCCAACTACTAACTGGATAATTGAGTTTGGAGGAGGTGTATCATATAAAGATACAGCAGTTATTGAACTCAGTAAGTACATGTAGACAGTAGCAGATACAATGTATATTGAATATGTAATGATAATTAGTAATAATAATATTACAATAAAGTAAGTAATTCTTATGATGAATATTTAATGAGAGCATTTGACGTATACCTATGATACTAATTATTACCAATTCATTCCTGCTATGTACAATAGTGAAATATAATGACTGCAGATACAGAAACACTGATATTAATAGGAGCTAGAGTGAATGAAATATTATTATGAGTGTATTTATATACAATAATATGTTCATGTGATTAACTGTGTAAACTGACAGAGGTCATACATACAATGATTAAACACGAATCCATCAATAATAAGGTTACCATAGTAACTAACTTTAATTAATTTGTGTATTTCTTATTCTCCACTATTTTGTTACTGTATAGGATATACTAGTGATAATGATTGGTCTACTAGTGTAATACTTCTGGACCAGTATCAAGATCAACTTAGAAGAAGGATACTGAGTGATTGGGAGAATTTAGGATTAAGCAAAGAGGTTCAATTACTCAGAGGTCACCTACAAGAAAGAGAGAGAGAATTTTATGAGGAACAGCTTCTAAGAGAAATAAAAGAGAAGGAGCAGATACGGCAAGATCGAGACAAAGAGCAGCAACAGCTTCTTCAAGAAAAGGCAACACTTAGTCAGCAACTTGATGATGCTACCAGTCTCCTTGAGCAAGCAGAAAAGGATAAATCAACTGTTGAATTAGGTACTATTGTGTTGTACTGTTGTTTATGTGTACATTGTTTACTTTATAGTACTTAGTCTAGTGGATTAGACAATGTTGAGTATGGAAATAGTATCCTGTACTCAATATAGGTCAAATTGTGCATGCATTAGAAATAATGAGATTGATGTAGAGTGAGCTCTGCTTACCATGTATAGTATCATTACATGTTACTATGGGCTACTGTACATGCAGGTGTACAAATTTGTTTAGGCAACAAATATCATTTATCTTCTCTTTTTGTATTTTTTATTGATGATAGAATATTATGAGAAGCTTAAAGCTAAAGTTGCTGAAATCTTGGGAGAGAAGACACAAGTAGAGGAGAAGCAACAGATTATTACTGGTTAGTTTATCATCAGTACATAATATTAGATGAGAGAATATTCTATTAATGTAGAAGATTATGAAAAACTGAAACTCAATGTAGCTGATATGGAGGAACAATATCTGAAGGAGAAACAGATCATTATTGGTTAGTTAACTATACACACAGCATGTATTAGATGAGAGAATATGTTTATTGTGTAGACGACAGTCAAAATCTCATTTCTGAGAAAGACAAAGTTATAGCCAAACTGACATCACAAGTAGAGGAACAATCACAGAATGAGAAACAGATTATTACTGGTTAGTATAATGTCATTAATCAATAATAATTATTAATATTCTATTAATTTATAGACCTTAAAGAAAAGGAGTTGTACATAGCCAAACTAGTGAAGGAAAGACAAGAGAGGGTCCTCAAGCAACCTATCAAAGAGACTAGTTCCATTGGACTACAATTTAATTACCTGATCCCTTCAATGGGTATAAGAGTATTATTGTGTGACTGACTGAGAATACATGTATTATACAATTGTGTGCGTACTCACTGTATATATTTTGTATAATTGACAGATAAATTGGATTGTCTGAGTGATGTCCAGGTAGCAGAGAGGAAGCTGTTCTTAATTCAAGGAGACAAACCTCAACTGATGAATTGGGAGAATTATGGTCTAAGGATTGGAGTACAAAAGGAGAGCTTACTATCCTCTGAGACAGTAGAAGCAGCAGTGGTTGCTCTTGTAGGAGGACAGTTCCAGTTTCCTCCTAATACTGTCCTAGTGAGTGCTGTGTATGCAGTATCACTCTCAAAGCCTCTCCTCAAAAGGCTCATACTAGAAATACAGCACTGCATTGATTTAACAGGACGACCAGGTCTTAGTCGTCATCTCAAGTTTGCCATAGCTCCCGTGAGCACACCCAGTCTTCCTCACCACTTCTCACTAGTTGAGGGAGGAGAGTTTAAAGCTGATAGTTGGTATGGATCCAATTCAACGTAAAGAGTTCTGTTTAGTAGC